ACTATCGACAATTGAACACACTGTACAGAGAGTATCGGAATGAAAAAGTCGCAATATCAAAATTCGTAACTCTTAAAAGATCCTTCTTCGATAAATCGTCGAGGGATATTTCGTATACAGAGCACGTACACTAAACATTGCCAACTCTGTGAGTCCAAGACACTCATTTTTCTGTACATATGGAATAAAATATTCAAATCACATGCAATCCAGTGCTGAACATTTTTCTTCCATTCGCTTCCCAAGTCTAGTAATCTTTGTGCTTTTATTTTTCTTCCGATTACCTCTGTGTTCAGTATAATAACTACCAGCCAAGTGACTAAAACAGTCATTTTCTGAGCTATCTGCAACTGATACAAAAGTCACACATTTTAATACCAAAATTTGCTCTTTAATTGACGTTTCTATTACCGACACAAACATAAGTAGGTTGCAAACCAACACTTGTAGCTCCTAGGAGCTGAAGTTGAACTTCACCTCCTAGGATCTAAAAAGGATGTACTAGGTCATCAAGAATAAACAACATTGTTTGGGTTGGTTCTTTGGTTTAGGACGCATAACTGATTTGCTTCCGATTTCGGCAGATTTGGCATCTCATACCCATGTTGGAGATATAAATACACCATATTATTGTTGAGTATTTCACATTCTTGCTCGATCTGTAGTTCATTCGATAGTCTCGGGATCTGATTGATTGGATAACTTGATTTTGAATAATCACGGCCAGCAATACCTCTTTGACTCACACAACGATAGTGTTTATCTTCTTTTGATTACCGAGCCAAACACAGTGGAATATAAAGAGAAATAAATAATCGCTATTATTGTTGATATGCTCACTAACCTAACATTTTCCACTTTCTTTTCCTATACCTGGCACTGGCGTGGTATTTGCTATTAGGGCTGACCTGGTGAAAATGAATTCATCGATTCATCGATTCAATAGAAGACACAAATAGGTCACTCTGTGGTTGTATTTATATTGAAAATACAATTCGAACATCCTTGAAAATTGAATAAACCTGTTCTGTAAATGCAGGTAGAATATTCTCAGCCCAGCACATTTGTTACATTGCACGGCATCCACATTTCGGGTAGTACACAAATTGTAACAAAGTGAACTAGTCTGAGGTCTTGCTTCTATCTACTTACTCATATTATTATAATAATCTGTCAAGTAAGTAACATTGATGGTTACTTCATTCATATTTATGTTTGTTAACCCTTTCGGTTGCAGAAAAAGTAAAATGTTTCATTCGATTCAAAAGTAACTTTGCTTGACTCGCAAATTTTGCTTTCGTTCAGCTTTGCTAGACGCTCTGCCCCGCGAATGCAAAATTTGCTTCAGAACAATGTATCACTTTTGATCCTAATAAAACAATCTATTTTTTTTCTGTGACGGGAAAATAGTTTGGCATTTCATCTCTGTTGGCAGGTTATAAAATGTCACTTTCCATAAATTACTTTTTTCCTGTAGGAAAAAAGTGAGTACTTTTTTCCCGGATATATATCACATATATATACACTGTTGATGGCATTTGTTGTGCTATAGTTCTGAAAAATGAGTCAATAATACCGTCTCCGAGAAAGAACTGCAAGACCTTTTATCTTCCATTCGACTTCGCGGTTACGTATATTACTAGACAACCACTAAATTCGCAATTTTTTGGAATCAAATCACAGAATTAGACTGACAGAAGTGACATCAGATATTTGATAACTTCAAAAGAATGATAAAGATGCCTACAACGCAGGTGTCCCTACTGTTAAAAACTTAAAATTTCACGTCGATAATTTTCGTCCTTTCTTCAGTCACAGAAAAAAATAGTGTATTACACACGGAAAAAATATTAGATTTTAGCCCACGGTTTTTTGTCTCCCTGGAGCTAAAATCTACTACTTTTTCCCTTGTATAATAAAAACTATTTCTCACGAAAGCAGTTGACACATGGACGTAAAAATGACATAGTTTTCGAAGCCTACACAGTCAGAGATACTCACCCCAAGTGAATTTGGCTATTATGTAGAAAAATAGTAGCTGAGAAACTTGGCGCATTGTTAAAGTTCTTCAAACATTCCAACACATATTTTGCCCAAATTATAGATCAATACATATTATTTCGAATAATTTTTAAGTTGAAACGGTTGGTTATATTTACAGCTAACAAGCAATATTTACCAACCTATACAAAATACTGCCGAAAAGAGAATAACTGTCAACAAAAATTATTCGTCGAGTTCAAATAGGCAGACTAAATATCCAATTTCAGTTATTCCAGCGTCATTGAACTTTTCCCGATCATATTATAGTAAATTAGTTTTCACAATTTCGAAAACCGCGACATCGACGTCAAATAAAATAAATTTTGCTGTATACCGACATATATACAATATTTGAATTCCACAACTTTAATTCCGATTCAGTAGTTATTCTGGTTTGAATAGGTGTTGGGTCGGTTGTTTTATTCAAACAATACATTGTGATTTTGAACAACCGATATTATGCTCGGTTGTCGAAAGATTAGCTATCACAACGTCATAGGAATTTTCTGTCATGCTCTCCAAGAGATGAAAAATAAGATTACTGAGTTCGGAGTATAATGACAAATGGTGACATACAACCTCAAAAGAATTATATCAATTTTTATTTTTGCTAAAATTCGTTTCCACCTACTTTTCAACTACTTGTTTTTTTTTTTCGACTACCAATAAACCGATTCAGAGTCATATCCAATATGTTTGGTTCTGTACAATATTTGATTGATATTTTGTGTTCAAATAAGAATTAATCCGCATACGATTTCTATACCGTTTATTTTAACAGTTCCTTATTTATTCAAGATTGATTCTCCCAAAGATTGAATTCAATAACAAACAAAATAAAGTCTATGACATTTGTTTTCATGAAGTTTTCCCGTATAATTCCCCTAGGTAATGTGTTATAACTGTAAATTTTTTGGGTACATGAATTTTTTGAGAATTATCACGAGTACAAATCTCCCGCAATTAATTCATGCACGAAGGGGATTCGGTAAGAAAATTTTACACCTGAATTATATTCAAAAAGAAAACATTATGTGAATAATTACATTTACTCTCCCTGTACCCTAGTAAAATAAAATTCAGAGTATCATATATCAGATATTATATAAAAATAATTGATTCAACATGATTTTCTTACTAGGTTTCCGAAAAATAAAAGTGATTGTCAAAATTATTTCAATTTTGTCCGATTATATGAAAGCTGCCTTGTGCCAGGAAATTTCCACTTTTCAATTTCACATGCCCATGTGGATGGAAAATTTTCAAAAAATTTGCTGGTAGCCATAATGTCGAAATCAAGCATCTGATATGGAATTTTCAAATCAAATGTCATTGAATTTCGACAACTCTCTGTTCCAGAATGATTGATAATAATCTCGCATCCACTTGAATTGAAGAATATAAAGTTTATTCGATTCTGAAAGTACTTGAGATGCATCTATTTATCCATTCTACTTCATAATATTAGTCTACATATATAGATCAGATAGGTTTCCATCTTCCAATATTTTTAAATGAAATCCATTGTTTTAGAGTACTAGGTATGTTATCTGTTTTTAATCAACAGAAACATTCGTGACCTTAAAAAAAATTATCGGCAATGATTCTGCTGCGTAGGAAATTCGGTAAGAAAATTTCATGATTTGGACTTGATTTTTATATGATAAGAAGAAGAATAATGAGATATTTGACATTTAGATATAAGTCGTTTCAATTACTAGTATGTGAGAAACATTAAATAACGTTATCTAAAATCCAATGTCTTCATAGTTTTAAATTCGAATAAAACTTGAAAAAACATATTTCCTATGAGTTTAGTTGAATATGACACAGTATATTTTTACAATAGAAGTTGATTTCATTTGTTAGTAACTAAGGTTTATTACTAAAATCTCAGGAACATTAAAAACATTAATTCGTTTTCAACCATAACATCTGATATTACATGTCTACATAGTTTCAAATGAAACTGAACTGAGTGACTTATGCCAATAGATATAAGGTGCTTCATTTTTTACAGAATAATTATCACTTTTCAATTCAATTAAGTTGAAAGGACCCAACAAAATTATCACAATGGTCACCCATTGCTATAAGGAGCCTTCTAATTGGTTCAAAATTAATTCATGAAATCTTTACTCTCATTCAGGGTGGAAAATTATCCATGCATACATCAGTTTCTAATTATTTTATCGTATATTTCCGGGAAAACTTTGGGAAACGCGATCGTCCTCCTCCTAGATCTCGCGGAAAACTGGAGAAAATTCCGTTCCCGTGATTCATACGGTTCGATGGACACATGCGCAGTTGTGCAACCTTCATGAATATTGTAATATATATCATTCCAGAAGAGATCTACGTATGAACATCATTTTCGGTAACGGAACAATTACTATTGTACGTTCAATGATCCCTGATTTGATTCAGAAAATGTTTTCACCTGTAATATCATCTAGGAATGTGGTTGTTTTCTATTAGATACCTAGTATATTCAATCAAATCAATCAATCAATCAAGCTATTTGTTTGTAAAAAACTACAGTTTTTATAACAAAGAGTTTGATAATATATCAACTATACCAAATGTTGATACCTAATTGATACAGAGAAATGTAAAAAACTAAAAGAAAACCGTAAACAATAGGCCATTGAGTGAGCTTTATGCAGAAAACAAGTTACTGAAACAGTATGATTTCATTCGTTCACAATAAAATACCTTATATTGTTGAGCGCATCTACGAGAAGTTGAGGGCTGGTGAGGAGAGCAAGGTTTGTTGTTCTCATTGAAGGATAATATATGGAGGATTCAGGGTATAACAGGTGTTAGCGAAACCTGTCGTGTGTTTGAGAATTTTGTAGAAATCGTTCGTGGAGTTTTTACATTCGCCATGGATTTCCATCAAGTAACTGCCGAGTCAATTCGAAAAAAAAAAATGAAACGATGTCTTCTTGTTTTTTTTATGTTTTTATTTTTTCTCTGATCCAATCAACATAGCTGCTTATCCTCGTGTAGACCGACGGTGCTCCAATTCGACCGCACGGTCGGACACCCCAAGAAACCACCCCCACTGCGACCCCCTTCTGCGTCAGTGGACCCCCAGAGTCACCGTCGCAGGTGGATAAATGGCCCGGTAAAGGGCCGGTACAGAGGTTGGCCCGTTCGTCCAGCAGGCCGAACCACGTGGGGCGCAGGGATGACAGGGTGTCTTGACAGTCTGGAAAAAATCGGGAATATTGTATCTAAAATGTTGGGAGATTTTGAACGTATCAAAATGACAAAGTACAGGGTCAGGTTGAGATAATAGATTTTCTTGTTTCGATTTTACACCAATAATAAATTACTGTTTATTATACAGCGGAGGGAGACAAAAAACGCTAAAATCTAATATTTTTCTCGTGTATAATACACAATTTTTTTCTGTGACAGAAGAAACGACGAATCAATATTGAGAAGATATTACATTATTTTGAAATCTTAAAGTTATCGACGTGAAATTCCCCAAGTAGGGACACCTGCGTTGTAGGCATCTTTATCATTCTTTTGAAGTAATCAAATATCTGATGCCACTTCTGTCACCTTCTGTCAGTCTTATTCTGTGTTTTGTTTTCAAAAAATTGCGAATTCAGAGGTTGTTTAGTGATAAACGTAACCGCGAAGTCGAATGGAAGATAAAAGGACTTGCAGTTCTTTCTCGGAGACGGTATTATTGACTCATTTTTCGGAACTATAGCACAACAAAAGCCATCAACAGTGTATATATATGAGATATATATCCAGGAAAAAAGTAATTTATGAAAAGTGACATTTTATAACCTGCCAACAGAGATGGAATGCCAAACTTCCCAGCGAGCACAAACGTCCCTGGGCTGTTTTGGGATGTTTTGAAAATGTTGGCATGAAGATGTTATTTTGAGACGTAATATGCACTGACCAAATAAGAGGTCTTTGAAGGATATTGAAGTATTGTTTTTGTTCTTCTGTGGCATTTCTTTGTTTGCCTCCTGAGAGGTATCCCTGGGATGTTTTGGGATGTTTTAGAAATGTAGGCATGAGGATGTTTTTTTGAGGCGTAATATGCACTTCCCAAAGAGGTCTTAGAAGGATATTGAAAGTATTGTTTTTGTTCTTTTGTGCCCTTTCTTTGTTTGCCCCACCACAACGTCTCATGCTCACGTCACAATACGATGAATTCTGATTTGTTTTCGATTTTGTTCTTCTTGTTCGCAATTGGCATTCGCGTTTGCGGCGTGTCACGCTTACATCACGCTGCTAACGAACAGAAAGTAATTCGGTGAAGTTTATTGTGTTAGAAGACTAATTTAGTTTGTAATAATGACCATCAGATGCAAGATAAGTTGTTCGGTTCCTCAGTGTAATCAATATATAAAAGAACGAATTTATCAATACACAGCTTCTCTGCAGTTGCAAAATTATGCATTGTGGAGAACATTTCAAAAATTGGGAAACCTATTTCCAATTATATGTCTGTGTGTAGTAAGCACTACTTCGAAACCGATTGAGAAGGTAATTTCATATCAAGAAAATATTTTTATGTTCAATCTATTTTTGATGCATTTTTTCATTCAAGGGAAATGGAATCCTAATGCAGAAGTTCATTTTGACAAAAGGCTTCAGAAAACTAACTCGAAAATGTTATTTTCACAGCGATTCAATGTGCGCAAGACGCGTTGAAAATGTTTTGTTGTGTCTATGAAAAGGCTTTAAAAAGAACTAGGGAGAAGGTATTTTTGTGACATATCAAGGACATCTCGATAATTGCCGCATGCGGCGGACATTGACTGTTCTATAATAGTTCTATTCATGTGTGAACAGAACATCGCAGTGGAGGTTCAATGTCTCGAAATCTCGTACTTTCAACATCTCTGAGATGTTTTTGTGCTCGCTGGGTTTTTTCCCGCCACAGAAAAATAACTAATTTTTGAATTCATATATACCTTGGTATGACAAAACGGGTAGATCTACGGCCTGCATAGTATCTGCCCGGTAGATTTCGTCCTCGTCCTCGACCCCCCAACCGGACAGTGTTGCCATTCCGACAACGTCTGATCCTTGCTCTGGTAGCTGGACAGGTTGAACATGATCGTTGAACACCAATGAAGCGTTCAGCTTCCAGAGAGCTATATCATGAGCACTCACTTCACTGAAACATTTTGATTTTTTGAAAATTTGTACATACAGGGTGTCTCTACAAACAGTTACCACATTTCCTCAGACCTAAACAAGTCGATATAAGCAAACTCGCATCAGTACAAAGTTGCTCAGTTGCAAGTTTCACATTATTTTTTCTTCATATTTTTTAAACGAATCATGAGATTTTACTCAAATTTGGTACGTTGGCATAGCTTTATTGGGCAATTAAATCCATATCATGATCATGATGAATATGATTCCATGGGCGTAGAACTTGATTTTTTCAGTAAATAAACATCTGAAACTTCTGCGCCAATGGAAAAAAAGGAATTTGAATATAAAATTTGGATTGCGTGACTTGTTTACTACAAAAAGGTATTCTTGCTAAAATTCAATTATTCTCATGGTTTCGACAGAATTTTTAATTCGGTAATTCAAAGGATCAGGCTACACCAAAACGATTTCATAAAAATTGTTCAAAATTTTCATCAGTTTCACGTTTGCAAACGAGATACGTACGTATATGATGAATAGATTGAAATGTGCTATCATCTACCCTGATCAACAAGTCATTTTTGAAAAGGAGTATTCTCAGATAAATTATGAACATAAAAATGAAAAAATGGATATACATATGAAGAAATACATTGAGAATTCGCATTCTCTTTGTGATAAAAATATCAATTCTTCCTCGGTATACTCAACAGAAAACAACTACTTTCCTGGCTATTTGTCACGTCGAACATTGAATTAGGTATATCAGTTGAACATCTATCTTGTAAATATACAATTTTGACGAAAGAATCATAATCTCCGACCCCAAAAACCTACAGAAACTAACTTTTAATACAATCGGATCATGATTACAAAACCCGATAACCATATTTTCCAATAACAAAATCATCATAATCTCCTACACCGAAAACCCTAGATGCCAATTTTGAATAGAATCGAATCATATAATTACAAAACTCGTTCACCACATTGAATCTGCCATCTTGAATTCTCCAATTTTGACGAGAGACTCATGATCTTCAACCCCTTACACCCGAGATATCAATTTTTACTACAATCGGATCATAATTACAAAGCTTTCAAATTTCGACGAGAGAATAATAATCTTTGACCCCGGAAACCACCAGATACAACTTTTGGATAGATTCGGATCATAATTACAAAATTGGACCGCCATATTGGATCCACCTCCTTGAATGAAAACCCCCAGATGCCAATTTTGGAGCGAAACGGACCATAATTACACAACTCGTCCGCCATTTGGGAGCCGCCATTTTGTTTTTTGCCTCACAAAAATTCCATGATGCATTGCCACCAAAATCATACATTCAGGTGAAGCAAAAGAAATAATGTTATAAATAGGAATAGGAATATACCTTTGTCTTTGTGTATACTTACAGTTCATCATCAAACGAAGGATGGATTATGTATTCTTCGACACCGATAGTTTGAATACTTCCATCAGTTTCTTTCAAGTTGTAAGTTCCTGCTACTATCTGTGAAGAATATACAGAGTGTATGATTAGGAACGCCAGATAAACCATTTGCCTCCATTTATTGTCTCAGTTCCATGAACTAACTATATAAGAAGTAATAGTGACTGCTCAATGACTATGAGAAAGCATTAATTGATTTTCGAGTTAATTTGATCTACCCACTGCACCGAACCTTCAATAACAATAGATCGACTATTCAATTCATGGGACTTTCAAGTGTGCCATAAAGAAAGATAGGATACCTTTTCATTCAATCTGATAATTTCACACAAATTGTTGTTCGATCTTACTATGTTTTTCGTAAATAAGAGGAATTATGAAGGAGCATTGACTTTGTACTGTTCCTGATAAATTTTGCAAGATTCATCTTCTTATAGATATTACATTCAATTCAAAAAAAAATTAGAGAAATATTAGGTCCTATTTGGACAACACCACATCAGAGTTGAAGTTGAAAAAGATTGAATTAATGCTTCTTCATCTACTGATGAATAGTCAAAATTTTTGTTATTCAAGACAGGTGATGGAGACTTGCAAAATGAGGACTTTTCTCATTTAACATTAAACAAAAATGCATCATCACAATTAAATAATATAAACAGATACAATTATTCGGGGTGTATCTAAATAACACCGAAAAAATTCAAGCGGTTGCTCCGTTTTGGAGATACAGGATGTTGAAGTTGGAAGTATTAATTGTTTTTATTTATAACCCCCCTGTTTAAGCTTTCATCGTGCCAAAATTCAGTATGGATGGAGACTGAGAAGAAAGCCCCAAAAGTTCAGAATGATTCTAATTGGGGAGCACAAGAACATCTCAGAGATGTCAAAAGTACGAGATTTCGAGACATTGAACCTCCACTGCGATGTTCTGTTCACACATGAATAGAACTATTATAGAACAGCCAATGTCCGCCGCAGGCGGCAATTATCGAGATGTCCTTGATATGTCACAAAACTACCTTCTCCCTAGTTCTTTTTAAATCCTTTTCATGGACACAACAGAACATTTTCAACGCGTCTTGCGCACATTAAATCGCTGTAAAAAAACATTTTCGAGGTATTTTTCTGAAGCCTTTTGTCAAAATGAACTTTTGCATAAGGATTCCATTTCCTTTGAATGAAAAAATGCATTAAAAATAGATTGAACATAAAAATATTTTCTGGATATGAAATTACCTTCTTAATCGGTTTCTGAGTAGTGCTTACTACACACAGACATATAATTGGAAATAGGTTTCCCAATTTTTGAAATGTTCTCCAAAATGCATAATTTTGCAACTGCGGAGAAGCTGTGTATTGATGAATTCGAAACACAATAAACTTCACCAAATTCCTTTCTGTTCGTTAGCAGCGTGATGTAAGCGTGACATACGCTGCAAACGCGAATGCCAATTGCGAACAAGAAAAACAAAATCGAAAACAAATCAGAATTCATCGTATTGTGAAGTAAGCATGAGACGTTGTGGTGGGGCAAACAAAGAAAGGGCACAAAAGAACAAAAACAATACTTTCAATATCCTTCTAAGACCTCTTTGGGAAGTGTAAAACATCCCAAAACATCCCAGGGATACCTCTCAGTAGGCAAACAAAGAAATGCCACAGAAGAACAAAAACAATACTTCAATATCCTTCAAAGACCTCTTTGGTCAGTGCATATTACTTCTCAAAAAAACATCTTCATGCCAACATTTTCAAAACATCCCAAAACATCCCAGGGATGTTTGTGCTCGCTGGGGGGTTATTGAGTAATATCAATGAAAGCCTTGAAAACACCTACATCAAAATTTGGAGTCAAATCGAATTTTTATTGTTTCCCCAATAACTCAGCTTGCTTGCTTGCTTGCTTGCTCAGCTAAAATCACACAGAGGATGAAGAAGTTGTCAAACCAATAGTTCAATCTAATAAAATTATGAAACGGTGGTGTACAATGACATTCACCATGAATATCGATAAATTTACCCAGCACTGTGACGCCACTGGAAATATTATTTCGAATCAAATTGCACTAGAAGAAGCTCATAGATCTTAAAAGCTCTATATAACTATTAACAAAACCACAATGTTTTATTGAATAGAAAAAAGATTTTCCATGGGAATATTAATACCCTGTATCTCGAAAACGAAGCAAGTTAGGACACATGTTCATATGAACTTTATTTCCTAAAATATCACAAGGAATCTCCCCTTGAATTTGTTCGGTGTATAGGGTGATCTCTTTATATTAGACGTAAACAGTGTTAAATAATCCGCGAGAATACCACTCACGTATCTCTCGTACAGGTCGGTGTCTCCGGTGCAGTGGGCTGCTGTCAGGATCCACCTCTCGTTCAGGATAGCCCCACCACAGTCATGAAAACATTCGTCGTCGCATTGACGAATGGAGACGTGGAACGGGAATTGATTACGCACTGCGTCATGACCACCTACGATGCTGAAAGTAGGTGCAGCTGAAAATATTATCCATTTTAATTTTCCTGACTGAATTCATTTATCTCAATATACTATATGTGACACAGGCTGCTCATGGTCCATCACTTTTTCTTCTTTATTTTTCTAGCTATATTTTTAAAACTTGAAACATTGAATTTGCTCACTAGACGACATTTCCTGACAGGTACAGAAAAAAAATCGACTCCTGAATGTACCGAAATGACAAAAACTTTCGATTTTCTAATGAAATACCCTGTATATTTACCTCCTCTCAACCCACTATCGTATCATTCATGTAACTATAGAACTTGAATAGAAATGGAATTTTGAGCGGTAGGACATTTTTGCATCGAATCTGATATTGTAATAATAATAATAATATATTGATATACAGATTGGTTATCGAGACCTATTCATATAGCAGGAATCGATGACAGTTGGCAATATAATGATAATGAAGATTATGGAAAGCCCTAATTTCGAGTGTCAACGCAGTGATGCCAACCTTTCAAATACGTTTTTCCTACACATACCTGTGAAAAATTCCCCACACTGGAAAAAATACCCAACAAGTCATTCAAAATCAAATGAACCTTATTTTTATTGAGCTGATTTAGTATCACGCTATTGCCATAAACAAGTCATGAATTCAAACCAAAGCCACTTATAGTAATAATCATGAAATGATAATGATATCGACCGCTCTCTGAACTGACAAACTGCGTCTGCTTTTTTAAATTCGAAGTTATCATACGTTAGATAGTCGTTGGGGCAGTCCGGCAACAAGAACAATCGAAAAATCCTCACAATTCTAGATCATTCAATAATCTGTCCCTACATCCCTACACACCCTAAATTTGGCAAATTATTCATACATGTAGGGAGAATATTCCTACGGGTTGGCATCACTGTGTCAACGAAAAGTGAAAAAACTCCACTGCCCCGCGTGAGAGTCGAACTCACAACCTCTGGGTTACATGCCCAAAGCTCTGCCAATTGAGCTAACGGGACATCCGTCAATCAATCGGCAGGAAGACCGAGTTCTCATCACACACCAGGCGGCAGAATCCCTCCAAATCCCAAAGTCACTTGAAATCATGCACTATATGAAGCATCGCTGGCAGGATGTTACTATATAGTTTCCATTTTTTCCCGTTCGTACTCTGGCATTGTCTTTCCTTGTGTACGGAAATGTCCGCAAGCAATCTATACATAAGTGTGTGTCTGAAGATGGCTGTTTAGCCGAAACTAGTCACACTAGCAATTGTGTAATATAATTTGTGGTCGACCGACTTTGTGTATTTTGTTTTTTCTTTGAAAAAATCTGGACCACTTTGAGAAGGATGGATGGTTTCCATGACTTATCTATACATAAGAGTTAGTAATTTTTGTCGGTTACTCGACCGAAAAGATACATAAAATAATGAAGATGATGGAAAGCTCTAATTTCGAGTGTCAACAGAAAATGACAGTCACGCTCACCGTTAGACAGTATTGATTCCTTGAGTATATTGGGAATATTAATCCTTGAGTATTGGGCGCATAATAATAGTTATTTGTTTCACAAGACAGGAAAGCATAAGATTGAATCTTCTCTTCTGATGCCATGTGAAACATATAGTTTCTTCTCCAAATTCGTTCCAATTTCACACTATATGTGTATACAGTGTGTCCATTTAGTGCGTAATTCTTCGATATCTCGAAAGCCATAACCTATAGAGGAAAACTTTGGAGAAGAAACTTTTTCAGTTACTAAAGTTGCTCAATTCGAAATTATTTTCAACATTACTGGGTGATTTATAAAAGCAGGGCAACTCGAAGAAGAGTTTTTTAAAATGGAACACCCAGTACTGTTCATTCGGAATTAATTCCGTCGAGGTTCACCTTCACATCGCTGTGAAAAAAATTGGAATCGGTTGCGGCGTTGCCAAGTTATAATTGATAAACCTATTTTTACCATTATTGAAGAGTCATGTTGAATTGGGCATGGTATATTCATTTATTCAGATTTTGAAAATATTTTTGGCATACGGTAGGAGCAAGGTCCAACGTTTACCAATCCAGTAATTTTGCGACATGTTCTTCAACAGGGTGCTCAATTTTGCATTTAGAATTTTGCAAGATTCAGATGACATTCATCAGAATTTTTCAAATGGAACACCCTGTATTCAAAAATTCATTTCGACATCTTTCGCCTTTTTATCGCTGGAAAATAAAATCGAAATCGGTTGCGGCGTTGTCAAGTTATGGTTGATTTCCTTATTTTCACTACTATTTCGGGGTAATTTGTAAGTGATAGTTCTTTCATTTATTTGTATTGTGGAAATATTGCGTTGCTACGGTATAATCAAATTTGTTCATTGACCATTCATATATTTTTTTACAAAAGGAACATTCACAGGCTCTCCAAGTTTGAATTTTGTTCTAAATATTTGTATAATGACCTGTCAAACATCGCTACAATCAAATATATCTTGGATTGATTCCACATTTTGCTGAATTTCCTCCCAAAAGCTGCGTAGTAGAGACATATTGTTTGTATCATTATGTTTACCTTCTTCAAGGTAAATGGAGATTTGGATTGTGGGAATAACGACAATAAAAATGGCCCAAATTTCAAAAAAAAATCCTAATTTTCGCAATACGCATCTTCATTGTTTGTATTGTAGAAGTTATTTCAAAGACAGGCGTTGCTTTTGGTATGTTTGTTTGTTTCACATATTATTTGAATCAAAAGTAGCAAGATTACGGAATATTTCAAATTTGGACGATGCACATATCACAAAAATACCTGAATGATCTATGTAGAACCTCGAATGTCATGTGGCAAGCAATATTCCCACACTCGAATCACAAATCAAATTAAGGAACCATCAGGACGAACAAATTACCCCGAAATAGTAGTAAAAATAAGGAAATTACTCATGAGTTGAAAACGCCGCAACCGATTTCGATTTTTTCTTCTGCGATGAAAAGGCGAATGATGTCGAAATACATCCGTGATGAAAAATACAGGGTGTTCCATTTGAAAATTTCTTATGATCGTCGTCTGAATCTTACAATATGCAGAATGTAAATTTTAGCACCCTGTAGAGGATTATCTCGCAAGATTACTGGATTGGTATACGTGAGACCTTGCTACTACTGTATGCCAAAAATATTTTCGAAATTTCAATAAATAAATATACCATACCCAATTGAACATGACCCTTCAATAGTAGTAAAAATGGGTTTATCAATTATAACTTGGCAACGCCGCAACCAAATTCAATTTTTTTTACAGCGATGTAGAGCTGAACTTGAGCGGAATAAATTTCGAATGAACAATACTGGGTGTTCCATTTGAAAAAACTCGTCTTCGAGTTGCCCCGCTTTTATTAAACACCCAGTATCGTTGGAAATATTTTCGAAATGAGCAACTTTAGTAACTGAAGAAGTTTTTTCTTCAAAGTTTTTCTCTTCTGATAATTGATTTCGAGATATCGAAGAATTACGCACTAAATGGACACACTGTATAATCCATCATTTTGTGTTCACCCATTCACCCAATGTTATTGTCAATTTGAATTACCAATTTGATTCAAATTATTAGTTGGAGCGTTTGCAAAGCAATAAACTTTTTCTGCCTAGGCAGATCACCATTTGAATGAAAATAAAGATTGAACTCAGCGTGAATGTGCCTTCCGCACGGACATTTATACAGAGGTGAAGACAAAATTGCCACAGTGTTGAACTTTGGATGAAAAAAGGGGGCCTCTCCCAAATTTTATTTTGGTCCCTTTATTTTTTCATTGGTGTCATTCGATAGTATACACGTCGAATTTTCTGTGGGTTTCTCATTGTTTGTGAAGTTTTTACATTTCTTAGGGTTTGATATTTTCGTATTTATGTGAATGTCACCCTGATATTATCAATCGCAACATTGTGAAATAGTGTATCTTACACAACAAACAATACTATATTAAACTTTGTATACGACTACCCTAATTTGGCCTTATAGGAATGATTTTCATAAGTCAATGAGGTACTATCCTATCATCACCTGACATTTAATCAATAAAATGTATTAGGCACAGTTACTTGTTTATCATGGAAAGTTTAAACATCAATAAATATTATTATCTTTGATTAGACTGATAATGATAAGGGAACTGTCAATGTGTACCAACTAAATAAGTAAACAATCAACATCAGTTACAGTGTCACTTGAACGATGTATTGATGTTTATCATAGAGGACGTGGAAAAAAAATTCTGAATTGAGAAAACCCAATCACGAATCTGTGATAAGAGGTCTGTAAAAGCAAATTTTCATCGTTCAAGTTTGATTGAGTATTGAAATATATAAAAAGGAATATTTTCAGATACTTTCATGTTCATAATATAGGTATCTGAGAATATTCCTTCTCAATATCAGTTACTACTGCATCTATGAGCGGAGTAAGAATTTCTGTATTCCATTTGATGGCTGGATTTTATATGAATCTTTTATATTTTGAGCATATAGGATCATAACAGATACGATTCGTGTGACAGCATTTTCGAAAGATGAATTTGAAGTTGTACATTTGTAAAAAGCGTTCAGGTTCAGGTAAATGAATGGTATACCCATCTTCTTTACATTTGTCAATATTTCAGAAATTTTTAATTCATCTCGTTTATACATTAATTCAACATCTTGTCTTATTTATTCATATTGAACACTTACCATCATACGAGCTGGACATGACGCAGAGGATCAAGAAAAAATAATAAAACATTTGTTCACTGTTTTGCGCTCTACATTGATTTTTAGACAATGAAACGATGTGGATATCGATTTACTATAAATAATCGTATAGATTTTGTTTTATCATATCGCATATTATAAGCACATCGAGTACTAGATAGCAATTGATATAGGTAATATATCATATTGCACCAAATTTACTTTAGTTTTGAAATCCTGACTGTCACCTAACCGAATCATATTATCTTTCATTTATTAGAGATAATTGTCGATTTGTTGTTCTCGAAATTGTGTTTCCATATGGCGAAACAAGTGGGCCAACGATAAGAGACAGAATCGCGAAGATATACTCAAATCAGAGTGGTATTTTTCTAGACTATTTCACGAATCATTAGAAAAGCCTTTATTATGAACAAATCATTATAAGCACAGTGATTCTTCTGAAATCCACAGCTTCAATCATTTTTTATCAAACATTCAAACTTTATTGTTTTGCTATACCCATGGTTATACATTGTCGAAAACGCTAACGCTGATAGACCAATTAGAATCGAAATATGTACAGCTGAAGTGTTTTTGCTATAATACAAGTTGCCTATAGTTTGTGATAGTGCAGATTTTTTGTGAGAAATTCAAGATGAGTGAAATAGTCGAATAAATCGATCTTTTTTTATATTAATAACATAATGAGAACTTTTGAATGTTGAGGGTATTTTACTATTTAAGCTGAGGGAATGTGGAATTCAGTATATACCTTCGCATTATTATACCTGATGATTATACTTTCGTAAAAATGATTCCTTGGTTTGATGGAATTTCACTTTGCCTCAATGGCACACTCCATTTGAATATGCGAAATGCATGGATATATATTTCGTCACAACGAACAAAAAACTTTGAGGCAAATGCTCAACTTTTTTTGGTATAAAGTTCATGATTTTATGACAAGAAACTTTATTTTTGTTGTGATATTCAAAGATTTCGGCTCAAAATCATTTTTTCCTAAATTTCAAAGAACATTTTATGTCGGATCTCAGGAGGCTATAAAACATTGCTGTAGTGAACGATGAAGAATGGAGCATCCTGTATAGGCGGTCTTGACCGCAAAGGCCCTGAGTTCCGAAAGGAACTCCCACCGTGGCATTGGTTCGAGTCCCAGTTAGGCCATGGATAAGTTTGTGTATGCAGGGTATAACATGAAGTTACAGTCATATTGTAGCCATCTAGTGGCAAAGCTCTAAGGTAGGATCCAGAGATCGCGACACACACTGTATGGCGCTGCCATCTATAGTCACACGTACAGACCCACACGTCTATACGCTACACAGTGGTACTACAAGTAAATCACTCTGCTGACAGATGGCACTACCTGACATACTTGAGTGAATTTTTTCCACCACCTATTCAACTTCTAGATCTCATAACTGACAGATCCAGGATGAATAGAGTTGTCCCAATTGTCAGCAGGAGCGAGACAGTACTGTTTAGACCCACCAGGTCTCATCAGCCGCTCTCGGTCTGCTGACAACTGATGGGACAACTCTACGCTTCGGTTATATCACCCATTTCGAAGACGCAGGGTATTACATGAAGTTATAGTCATGTTGTAGCCATGTAGCCATCTAGTGGCAAAGCTCTAAGGTCGCGACACACACTGTATGGCGCTGTCATCTATACACACAAGTTTGTGTATGTATGCCCCGCATAAGTTTCGACTCATGGGGCATTTGGTCCCAGTGCTGGGACCAATGAGGCAATGCAATTGAAAAGAAAATGGAAAATGGAAAATTAGGAAAAGATGGTGCTGATTAATTCTGCGCGTCGTAACGCTGTATTATAGACTCTCCTCTATTTTTCGACTCTCTCAAAGAATTCTGCGCTAGACGGTATATATCAGAAAGATTCTTGTTACCTCTGGAGTGTCAGGGCTATCAAAGGAAATTTCCACAAAGATATTCGAAATATAAAAGATTTTCCGTTAACATCAAAGCTACCGAATTATATCCGGTATGCTTTGGAACAATGTTCGTTAGCATTGGCGCCTCCACTTGAGGGCAAGGGGGAGCAGCCCCCCCCCTGGAATTTAGCCATTTCAGTCTAGATAGGTGCACTCCGGTAGGCTACTACGTCTCCATTTCCCAGAATTTCCTAATCTTCACCACAGAAAAAAAAATTTAATTTTCCTACCTGAGACTTCAGTACGATATAGTCACCGAGCTATCTATGGATGGCCGAAAGTGCCAGAAAACGGCAGAAATTCACGAGAATTATTGATTTTTCAGTAGAAAATGACACGCTTAATCGAAGGAGACTATGATCAGCCCGATAGGACAGACAGTTTCCGAGATATCGGCGCTCAAAGTCAGCTTTCCGCTTTCATTGCCAATTGGTGCACTCCGGTAGGCTACTTCGTCTCCATTATCCAAAATTTCCTGATTTTCACCACAGATTCGTTCATTTCGACATCGAATTAGTTTATGTGAATTTTTTCTGATTTTTAAGAAGCCAAATAAAAATTTTCATTTTCCCACCTGAGACTTCAGTACGATATAGTCACCGAGCTATCTTCGGACGGCCGAAAGTGCCAGAAAACCGCACATTCACGCGAATTATCGCTTTTCCAGTAGAAACTGACACGCTGAATCGAATGAGACCATGATCAGCCCGATAAGACAGAGATATCGGCGCTCAAAGTCAGCTTACCGCTTTCATTGCCAATAGGTGCACTCCGGTAGGCTACTTCGTCTCAATTATCCAAAACTTCCTAATTTACACGACAGATTCGTTCATTTTGATATCGAATTAGTCTATTTTAATCTTTTCAGATTTTTAATCGGCCAAATAAAAATTTTCATTTCTCCACCTGCGACTTACGTACGATATAGTCACCGAGCTATCTTTGGATGGCCGAAAGTGCCAGAAAACGGCAGAAATTCACGCGAATTATCGATTTTCCAGTAGAAAATGGCACGCTGAATGGAATGAGACCATGATCAGCTCGATAGGACAGATAGTTTCCGAGATATCGGCGCTCAAAGTCAGCTTTCCGCTTTCATTGCCAATAGGTGCACTCCGGTAGGCTACTACGTCTCAATTATCCAAAATTTATTAATTTTCACTAGAGATTCGTTCATTTCGACATCGAATTAGTCTATTCGAATTTTTTCAGATTTTAAGGCCAAATAAAAATTATCATTTTCCTACCTGAGACTTCAGTACGATATAGTCACCGATCTATCTTCGGACGGCCGAAAGTGCCAGGCAACGGCGGAAATTCACGCGAATTATGGCTTTTCCAGTAAAAAATGACAAGCTTAATCGAAGGAGACTATGATCAGCCCGATAGAACAGACAGTTTCCGAGATATCGGCGCTCAAAGTCAGCTTTATGCTTTCATTGCCAATTGGTGCACTCCGGTAGGCTACTTCGTCTCCATTATCCAAAAATTCCTGATTTTCACCACAGATTCGTTCATTTCGACATCGAATTAGTTTATGTGAATTTTTTAGGATTTTTAATAAGCCAAATAAAAATTTTCATTTTCCCACCTGAGACTTCAGTACGATATAGTCACCGAGCTATCTTCGGACGGCCGAAAGTGCCAGAAAACCGCAGACATTCACGCGAATTATCGCTTTTCCAGTAGAAACTGACACGCTGAATCGAATGAGACCATGATCAGCCCGATAGGACAGACAGTTTTCGAGATATCGGCGCTCAAAGTCAGCTTTCCGCTTTCATTGCCAATAGGTGCACTCCGGTAGCCTACTTCGTCTCAATTATCCAAAATTTACTAATTTACACGACAGATTCGTTCATTTTGACATCGAATTAGTCTATTTGAATCTTTTCAGATTTTTAATCGGCCGAATAAAAATTTTCATTTCTCCACCTGAGACTTACGTACGATATAGTCACCGAGCTATCTTTGGATGGCCGAAAGTGCCAGAAAACGGCAAAAATTCACGGGAATTATCGATTTTCCAGTACAAAATGACACGCTGAATGAAATGAGACCATGATCAGCTCGATAGGATAGATAGTTTCCGAGATATCGGCGCTCTAAGTCAGCTTTCTGCTTTCATTGCCATTTGGTGCACTCCGGTAGGCTACTACGTCTCCATTATCTAAAATTTCCTAGTTTTCACTACAGATTCGTTCATTTCGACATCGAATTAGTCTATTCGAATTTTTTCAGATTTTTAATAGGCCAAATGAAAATTTTCATTTTCCTACCTAAGACTTCAGTACGATATAGTCACCGAGCTATCTTCGGACGGCCGAAAGTGCCAGAAAACGGTGGAAATCCACGCGAATTATCGCTTCTCCAGTAGAAAATGACACGCTGAATCGAATGAGACCATGATCAGCTCGATAGGATAGATAGTTTTCGAGATATCGTCGCTCAAAGTCAGCTTTCCGCTTTCATAGCCAATAGGTGCACTCCGGTAGGCTACTTCGTCTCAATTATTCAGAATTTACTAATTTTCACCACAGATTCGTTCATTTTGATATCGAATTAGTCTATTTTAATCTTTTCAGATTTTTAATCGGCCAAATAAAAATTTTCATTTCTCCACCTGAGACTTACGTACGATATAGTCACCGAGCTATCTTTGGATGGCCGAAAGTGCCAGAAAACGGCAGAAATTCACGAGAATTATTGATTTTCCAGTAGAAAATGACACGCTGAATGGAATGAGACCATGATCAGCTCGATAGGACAGATAGTTTCCGAGATATCGGCGCTCTAAGTCAGCTTTCTGCTTTCATTGCCATTTGGTGCACTCCGGTAGGCTACTACGTCTCCATTATACAAAATTTCCTAGTTTTCACTACAGATTCGTTCATTTCGACACCAAATTAGTCTATTCGAATTTTTCCAGATTTTTAATAGGCCAAATGAAAATTTTCATTTTCCTACCTAAGACTTCAGTACGATATAGTCACCGAGCTATTTTCGGACGGCCGAAAGTGCCAGAAAACGGTGGAAATCCACGCGAATTATCGCTTCTCCAGTAGAAAATGACACGCTGAATCGAATGAGACCATGATCAGCTCGATAGGATAGATAGTTTTCGAGATATCGGCGCTCAAAGTCAGCTTTCCGCTTTCATTGCCAATAGGTGCACTCCGGTAGGCTACTTCGTCTCAATTATTCAGA